GCCTGTTGCCTTAGACACGTCTAACAAGAGGAGTTGGTCATAAACTTCCTCTTGCGTTATAATTATATTATCTAAAGTATGAATTACGTCATCTATGTTTATTTCTGGAATATTTGTAGATGAGTCATCAACGCTCGATTGATCACAAAAATAACGATTAAAGGCATTTGCCTTATCTTTATTATCGTCTAAGTATGTATCATTTAATAGGATAGGGGGTAGTTCGAGGATTTGGAAGGAAGCCCAGCCAAGTTACGCATTTTTTTCCACCAATTCTTAATGTGAATCTAATGATTAACATTGTTTTTCAAAATAATGGGTTTTTGCTTGTTTAATCAAATTTACACATCCATTCCTAATATTCTTAAAGTTTTCCCAAGACTCAGGAGTATTGTATTTTTTGGCTTTTTTGTGCGAACGTTTCCGTTTGAAAATTTTTCTCCTTATAAATGACGTCATCCATGCAAGGAGGATCTTTCGTGCGAACAACAATTAATTTACTTGGCATATACTTGTTAGCAGCATCTCGTATTTTTTGTGTCACAATGAAGACTGCATTGTTCAAATTCGTATCAAGTAATGTATCCCAGTATACTTGTCTTAACTCCTCACAGTAGCGGTCGTAGTCCCCTTTTCAAAATCCCAAACTTTACGTTTAAATTTGGTGTATTTCGGTTTAGGCAATTTAAGTATTCCACTTACTGGACAATGGAACCTAGTATTTGCTTCTAAAATATTTTCACTCACTTCGTGATATGCCAGAATAAGGATATCATTAACTATAAGGGGGTCGAGGAGTGATGAGGAATTTTCACAATAAAATGTTGGCTCGGTAATTGCTTGGCGCATACCATTATGTAATAAGTTATATTTTTTTTTAATTATTACGGTTGGCCAGTAGTAAGTTTTCGTTGTCGTCACCCATGACCACTATACTTTCTATACCGTTATTTACTGCGTTTTCGATTGATTGATTTATATGATTCCAAATATGATATGGTGAATCCGGAGGTCTGTAGAATAGGCCAAACAATACTTTACGATCCTTAACTACTACTTCAACCCATAACCATTCGAGAGTATTGATTTCTAGATCATTTCGTCGCTCACTTGGGATATTTTGTTTTACATACATCACGACTCCCCCTCCAAGCTTATCACCTTCTCTGTCATTACGATAGGGAGTCTTAAAGTTTGATAATACAGCTGCGGCTCTTTTCACAAAAAATCTTAAGAGTAAAAATACTCGTAAGTCATACACATTTCAGTATAACTTACGATCAATTTTAATCGTAAGATTTTTTGTGAAAAGAGTCGCTGAATTGTCGGATATGTTCGGCTTTAACCAAGATTCAGTTAACATAATTATATCTCTATCCCCAAGCTCTGCCTCCAAAATATCAAGTTTTGATTTTACACTTTGAATATTAATGCAAGTAAATGTAATCAAACACGAGAAAACGAGAAATAAAACGTCAAAACACGAAAACACGTAAAATAAAAAGGCCGAAAACGTTGCACGAAAATAACCCTTTACCACCCTCATTTCAGGGTATTTTATAGATTATAAAAGTAAACTTTTTTGAAGAAATAATAAATGGGGCTTAATTCTACTCTTCAGGTTGCTGTATCAGCTGGTATACATATTTATAAACAACATATTGTATATTTTACCTTAATATTGTATATTTATATCAGAAATGAAAGTTGGTGGGACAAATCTTGTGCCTTTTACATATAAATGATCAATGCCAATGGATTGTTAAATTTATCAAGAATTTGTTATTTGAATAAATTCAATATTGTAAGAAAACATCTCTATGAATTTTTTTCTTTGACTTGATAAGCTAGTTTTTGCACTTATTACTGTAGCTCATTTAGTAAAAAGATAATCAAATAAGCAGGTTTTTAACTTATAGATAATTAACTGACCTTCATTTCCTTTTTCATATGTTTTTTCCTCCAGAAGTTTTCTTTACAACGCATTTTCTATTGCTATTTTTTGTGCTTTTGTCAATCCATTATAGGCTTTCATTAATTTGTCTGATTTGTATCCAGTATGAATGAAATTTTCATAGACGTACAGTTTCACATGTTTGTTTCACTTTTCCAATGTGTAAATTTTCACTATGCACATGACCCCGACATATATTTTGTTAACGTTATATGACGTATGTTGAAAAAAGAAAACAATGTCACCGTCAATTTGTGTAGGGGATCAAGAAGGGTTTTAGTTACTTTTAAATGGAGGTATCGTATGGAATTGTGAAAAACAACAATTTTCAATCACAACTTCATTCATATCTCTAATAAAATCAGTATTTTAGAGTACTTTGGAAACAGGTACAATGGGAAGAAGTTGAACATTCACTGTTTTAAACAAGAAACGCAGCCAAAACCAGCTACAAATTGACATGACTAGTGGTCACTAAAATTGATGTGTAATTACAGTACAAAATTATATCTTCATAATTGTATAGAAATTTGAAATAGGTTACCCGGTTTCATTTAAGATTTTTATCGTTCTTTTCCGTATTTGGATACGCAAACGTCAAGTTATTTAAATTCGATTTTTTTTCGCGAAAAAAGATGGCGAATAATTTTTAGAACGGACAGGATAAAGAAATAGCAAAAAAAAGTTATTTTGGACAATGTTTCTATGTCGTATTGAAACTATATTGCTCACAAAACCTGCAAACTTTAAAAATCAATTATAATAAAAGCATGACAAGTTGAAAAAAAATAGTTTAAACGTCGATTTTTTAGCCGATTGATTTGGCGGACTTTTTGACGTCACCGACGACTGTAGCGCCACCTAATTAATTCCCCCTGCTATTGTTGCTGATAGAGATTGGCAACAACGGACGTTTCTAAGGACTTGCTTTCCAACTGACCAATACGTTTCCTAGGAGAATTTTTTTCGTAGTTTTTTTTTTGTGACGTCAATAAAGAATACAGATTTGCGGAATTTCTTAGTCGTCCGCTTCAAATTCAAAAATTGATGATTTTTACCCAAAAAATTTCTTTGGAACAGTGATCAACAGTTGTGAGAGCTACAGATTAAAGAGAATAATCATACATTAACATTGTCTCGAAATATAAATTTTATTTGGACTTGGTCGAAACAGGATAGAAATTCCCGGCAAAGCCTAGCATTCTATCTGTTTCTAAGATCTTCTAAGCCTTTACAAATAAATCACACTTTTATATTTCGAGACAATGTATGGTTATTCTATATACACCTTATCGCTATTCCCGGCTGACCCGGCCGCTTGAACTTTTGACGTCAACAACAATCACTTTTCCATTGTGGCGTCAGATATTTTGTTTTATGACGTCAAAATTTTACGGGAACCTGTGTGATGTCCAGTAATGGCGGACAAATAGCGATAAGGTGTATTAATACATATGCATTGACTGTCCTTATATATATGTGCCTTATATCAATTTATGATATATACAGTCACTGGCCGTTTATCGCCTTGTTTATGCCGTTTACCATGCGTTTCCGTAGAGTGTTTTTCTTATGACGTCAATAAAGAGTCTTGAACAATAGACAAGCCTGACAACCCTGAGTAAACACAATGTATCACGCTCTCAATCGTCCCAAGTAGCGAATAAAATTTAATCCTTTATCTATGATGATATATGAACCGAAACAATAATCTCTCAAAATAACGAAACAATTAAGATTTGATATATGTACGACAACTGCTCTCGAGATTCCTGATGTGGCGGAGGTAAACAAAAGTTTAAGAGATCTCAAACCTTCTCCTTTTATAAGAAAAACAGAAAGAAGAGAAAAGAAATTCCAATAAAAACGAGTACATGAAAAACACTAAAATAACGGTATAAAAGATAATTGAAATAGAACAAAATAAAAATTTAAAAAATTTATACCTTATCAAAGAATACTCGCAGTTACTAAAAACAAGTTCAAAGTACTTAACCTGCTGATAAGATATGATGCCGTCCTATACTTAATATTAATATCGGTTGCTGTACATCATAGAAGATTTCATACAACAATGTCATGGACAATACAGAAATACAAGATATTTTTCAATGCTCAAAACAAACTATACAGAAAATTAAAAGTTATTTTAATTTTTCGTCAAACTATATATTGACGAATCGATATTGATCCCCCAAATTCCCCCAAAAATATGAGATGCAGTGATTGAACAAAGAATATATTCCCGTTAAATGCTGAAGGGGAAATCAACCGTTTTCTTTTTTTTTTCGCTATGGAATTCACTGCAAATATTTTTTGCAAACTGTTTTTATTTTCGAAAATGAGGATAAACAGGTCTGATTAAAAAGCAGACACAGAATTTAATAAGAAGTGTTTAAAAAATGACCTGAAATAAATTTTGGTTTCCTTAATTATACCGTCACAGATTTTGTAAATGGTGAAGGGTACAGCAAGTATATATTTGATAAGATGAGTTTCTAATTTTTTTTCTGACGAACACAATTAGAAACTCATCTTATCAAATATATATAAAAAGGCAGTGAGATCACTGTTAACGCGATAATACACGCTCAATTTCCCGTTGTTACGATTACACAGTACATATAGTAATAACGTATTCGAACAACATAACAAGAGCCTTGTGAATAAAGGATAGCAAATTCAACTCATTTTCATATGATTTTAACGAAATAACCTCATATAATAAACAAGCGCGGAAACCTGTTTTATTTTATGGTTCTTTAAAGATCCCATCTCGATCTACAACAGATATAAAAATCACAATAAAAAAACACAATACAATGCGAAACTGTATCAACTCTCCAAAAGTTAATCTTGGATATCGTAAGATATTAAAGCTCTGGATTGAAAATTTCCTACAAGAGATAAGAATTTTCATTAGGAAGCTATATGAAATAACTTCAAATCCAATCTGGAATAAAGGTAAAAAGAAAAAGAAAAAGAAAATTATTAAGTACAGTGCATTTTATAATTTTATAATTCTTTTATATCACATACATATTACCTTTACTTTCTGTTTTATCAACAATATACATCTTAAGTGTACGTGTCTGTTCTGCTTCTTCTAAATTGTTTCGACTTTCCAATTTTTCTGTTTGACTTGGAGGATTTACTGCCGATTGGTTGCATTCTATAGAGTGTTCAGATCCGTTGAATAAGAATGGACATGCATGTTGGTCCGACAACCCATCAATGTTATCATCTACACAGCTTGATTCCGGTCCAAAAATGGTGCTATCTGCTTCACTTTCAACATGTTCAGATTGTTCTATAGAAAGTTGATCTGTGTTTTCCTTTTCATCGAGTCCTTTGAATTTCAATAAACTTATATCATCTGATACATTGTCAAAATCTTTGAAATCGCATGTTTCCGAAAGCGACTGTTGCTTGTCGATGCTAGTAGACGCAATGGAAAGAATAAGTTGACTGTCTTCGAGTTCTTGCTTCTTGAAGGCATCTTTCAGTTCTAAATCTTCTTTATTTATAGAACTTACGCCAGTTAATACTTTTTTGGTGACATACGAGCTAAAACTAAAGCGTGGCATCCTGTTGCTGTTGCTGTCGCTTATCTTCTTTGTTTAGAAAGTAACGTTGTCATTAGATACCTTTTGTTATGTTATAGCGTTACGTAGACACATTAGCAGTGCGGAAAGATGAAAGTGTCGTAGCGAGTGTGTGTAAGTGAGTAAGTAAGTAAGAGTAAGTGAGTAAGTAAGTAAGAGTAAGTAAGTAAGTAAGTAAGTAGTAAGCAAGTAAGTAAGTAAGTAAGTAAGTAAGTAAGTAAGTAAGCACTTTCATTTAATTAGACAAAGAGTTCACTTTCCGCAGTACTTTAGACTAGGCGACAAACTGTATAAGCTCAGAAATAGACGGAGGGGTGGATGGTGGGTCTCTGAATCCCACTTCCATATCCAACTCTCACCCCCCCCCCCTACTCCAACTTCCCTCACCCTAACTGTCGAGAGTGGATTAATGTCGTATTACACGAGCTTTGGTGGTGGAATCTGTTTCTCTAATGATTTTCAAACAATACGAGCGAAAATCGGTCAAAATGTTATTTCCAGCATATTCCTATTTTTACTCCTTCTTTCCCCGGTACCCGCCCCCTGTATCCTGCTTCCCTACCACTAACTCCCGCTTCCCACCCCTCATTCGTATGTTCCCTTATCCTTGTCCTTCCCTCATAGATACTATTTTCATTAGATTATAGTATTTATTATCGAAATTATTTAGTTCTGGAATGGTTTTTTTCAAATTCTAAACGAAGAGTTTACAGGTGAAAAACAAGTGTAATTAATTCACTCTTGACATGAACTATTTCTTTCCCCGGAAACTGTAATATTGGCAAATCCTATTTTCTCTTTTAATCTTTTTATATCTGTCCCTTTCAGATTCTAAAAATGATCACTACTTCGCATTTTAAAGACATTTATTCTATTTTCAAGCTGTTTCTGACAACAAAGTATATTGGTGTATGCCCTTTGTGAGGCCTTTATATCTTGTTCATAAAAAAAATCCCATGTACCAAATTTCTGAATAACACATCAAATTATGTTTTATCAAAGATATAAATAATGAATGCTTATCTGTAGAGTGAAAGTTTCCCGATGTTTCAATTAATCTTTCTAGACATTTATAATTTGAAACTCTGTGAAATTTTAACTTATTTTTGTTATGTATCATATTTCTATATGGTTAAGCTAAAACATTTGCATTTTCAATTCTCGAATTTTCGACATTTTGAAAATCAAAACTTTGACTAAGTGAAACTAAAATCCATACGGTTTTTTACCAATTTTGATTTCTCCGAAGCTTTTGAAGCTTGGCAAACATATTTTGATATACTCATTATTTGCAGCAGAAGGAGACCGTATGCAAATTATAAAAACACCATTTTAACATCTTGGCTATTTATATTAAGAAATTGTTCCTTTTCTGTAACTCGTGATACGCATTAGCATTAAACATTGAAGGGGTTCCTCCAAATAGAAAATTAATGTAGGCGGAGGAAAGAAAAAAGATTTGTTTACATTGCAACTTTCGTAGATTTTAAAATTTTGATTGTTTCATGCAATAGTAAAAGCCGCCTAGCCTTTACCATCACATGAAACAAGTGCCTGCATTTGCAGATCTTACAATAGCATATCCATGCATGTCATGTCAATTCGTACGACAAACTTATTGACCAGAGACATGCAAAATACACCACCTCCGTGCTTTTATACCCTAAGCTCTTCCTAAATCGCTCGACGCTTAACAAATGATGCGACTTCTAATTGAATTCTTTAATCCAAATGATTTTGTGAGGTAACTATCTTGCCGAATTCCTTTCATCTGCGTTGGATCACTGTCTGATCGCAATTAAGAGAATCGGAAAGCTGTCGACAAAAATTCTGTCGTTTTTTTATTATTCGAAATATACAAACCGGATCATAATTGCTAGATTGAGAACAGGATTATATATCTCCTATATTAATCAGACTTTTAATACATTTAATCCAGAGTGGTCATTTCAAGAACGTCTGAGTAAAAATCCTGAATGTGTGACAGAAGCTTTAAAAAAGACAGGTGCTATTTTACCTACTCCGGCAAAAAAACCTCCTTAGCGATTTACATAGAGTTTTGCTATTTTGCCGGTCTTATTTCATATTTTTTTCAGACTAAATGAAATGATTTTTCATTGAAACCATTCGAAAATGGAAGACAACACTTCGTTGTCAAAAAAAAAATGACCACAAACCTTCGTCCACTGGATAGTCAAGTTGTTTCATCATTACATGTACGTATATCTTCGTTTTTATCTTGTAACTATATACAGTTACGAATGGTGGCACGCATTTGAGATGACAAGCAGCACTGAAAATAATATTGCCAAAACTTGCGAAATTGACCGTCATTTAACATCTTTAAATTGATTTGAACCAAACTTGGTATGCACTTTGCACTAACAAGTTTGTTATAATGCATAATATTACAAACTTAAAATAACCAATAAAGCATAAAACATAATTGTGTTATTCTTGTTAAATAACAAATCCTAAACAAACTATTCTGAAAAACCCTATACAACAAGTATTATGTGCAGTTCATGTCTGTAGTATCTTTCTTGTGCAAGACTAAAAATACACCCAAAGCAAGGCATTGGTATTGTAACACTTGTAAAGCATTTTGAAGATGTTGAGTTTCACTTTATATTTCGGATCTTATGGGATATTTTTATTATAATTTTTAATTAGAATAACAAATTTGATATGCTTTGCTTATGTATTATATTTTAAAAAACTTTCTAATTAATATGTTAAAATGCATGTTTCTTTATTTCTTTCTATTCGTAATCAATATACGGAAAAATCTGCATTAAAACCGGCAAAATAGCAAAACCCTTAAAAAATCGCTATTCTGCCGGACCCGGCAAAATTGCGCTAATGAGGCTATTTTGCCGGAGCCGGCAATATAGCCACTGCCTTTAAAAATAATGTGACTCCTTTTTGAGTTCTTTAATCCAAATGATATTTTTTGGGGGGTAAACTATCTTGCTGAATGCCTTTCATCTGCATTGGATCACTATCTGATTGCATTTTGGAAAATCTTGAAGCTGTCGACAAAAATTCTGTCGCTTTTCACTATGTGAAATATACAAATTAGATATACTTGGATTGAGAACTGGATAATCGGAACGAATTCGACAGGATATAGCTGAATCGGGACGCTTCCTAAACAATATCTGATTATGGTATAGATTAGAATTGGCTTTTTTTAAATTTCCAATTTTAAAATCACAGGTTATTGATCAGACTTTTGACAAATTTTAATCAAGAGTGGTCCCATCAAGAACGGCTGAGTAAAAATCATGAAAGTGTGACTAAGCAATAATTTAACCTGCTTTAGTTTTGGCAAACCAGACGAAACACGTGTATATGTGTTGCCCCCTGAGAGACCTTGCTCCCATTATAAGATAAAATGATCCGCGGGGCGCAGCTTAATACGACCACAGAAGTCGAACCCTGAACAGTTAGCGAAAGTATGGACACTATACTTTCAAGCTTGATGCAGCTCTGAATTTGGATTTTGATTAAATATTTGACACATCATAATTTTCTTGCACATAATAAATGTGGTCAAAGAACTTGAAATTTGAAATTGGACTTTTACCTATTTTGGTCCATTATCCAAAATCTAAATACACGGTTAGATTCAGCATACCGGTATCATAGAACCCCAAGAATTTATTTTTTGATGAAATAAAACAAATAATTTTTTTGACCCTTTGGACCTCAATGTGGACCAATTTGATTACAGGGTCATGAAACCCACAATCTAAATACAAGGTTAGATTCAGCATATCAAAGAACCCCTTACATTGAATTTTTGGACCCTGATTTGGACAGATCCAGCATATCAAAGTACACCAAGATTTTAATCAATTTATTTATAAATGGACAATATGAGCTAATTTTTTAAAGGGGTTCGCTTCACTCATAGAATATATCATATATATATATAGTATTCTGAAAAGTAATTTATACAGAATAACAAACAAACCTATCACGAAGTTCTTCAAAAAAATTTAAATAAAAAATTTGAAAAAAAAACAATTTCAAAAATATCATTCCCAATTAATACAGTCCTACAGTTATACCCAAGAAAACACATCAAAATGATCGATGATGGATTTAAAATCAGCTTATCAAAATCAGCTTATCATCCAGACCACAAAGAAAACACAAAATTTTCAAATAAATTTGTCACTCCGTTATTTGATGAATACCACAGGTTTTGTTTTTCCTAGATAATGGGTGGTATTTGTGCATGAATGAATCAATAGTAAATACACAACACTTATCCATATTCATAAATGACTACAAACAATGTAAAAACTAACTGACTACAACTTTTGTCATAGATGGAGATTTCATTTTATAAAAAAAACTTAGAAAGAAAATAGAAAAGTAATTATTTTCATGCTTATTAATTGTATTCTTTTACAAACGGGTTGTTTATATAACACTGAAATCTTTATCATGGAATTTAGAATCTGGATGTTGTGGTTCAAATAGGGTGGGACAGGGGGAGGTGGCTGGTTCCAAGTCAAGACAAAATAAGATTGGTATTTGCTGCTTCTCTGCTAAGCACAAAGCATAAATGAGTAAATGCAGACTGGTCAGCTCAGAATTAGAATGTTCTAATATGACTAAATAATAGAATAACAATTAAATTTGTCCTGAAATATTAACAAGGGGTGTGTGTGTGGAAAGAGGGGGGATTCTGCTAGAGTCTTGGTGAAATGTTTTAAAAGAATAAATTGTGAATCCTGATATTTATGGATTTTTTATTCATTTGCAAAATTTAAATGAAAATTAATTAATTTTTCAACCCCCGAAGGAAATATCGGTTATTAAAATGGTGATGTACGGCGGGCGGCTGGGCGGGCCTACGGGCGGCTGCCAAACAGTGTCAGCACAATAACATGAAAAACGCTTTAACAATTTTTTTTTTCAAATTTAAATATGTTGTTTCCTGGGACTTAATGAAGGTCTAGCTCAATTTTCAAGACATTAGTTTATCTCCTTTGTGAGTTATCGCCATTTTTAATAT